CCCGCCCGGGCGCGGGCGGCAGGAGCGGGAGCAGGCGGAGGAGCGCGGGGCCGGTGCGGGCGGGGGCGCCGGCGGCGGTCTCGGCGGCGCCCCGGCTCGGGATGGTGCTCCTGTCCCTGTGGCTAGTGGCAGCCGCGCTCGGGGGGCTCCGCGCCGCTGCCGCCCGCCAGGTGAGTGCTGCCCGCGCGCGCTGGGGCGCCCCGGGGTCCCCGCAGCTGCGGGGCGCCGCGCGCGGGCTCCGCTGTCCCTGCCGCACGTCGCGGGCCGTGCGCACCGGCTCCCGGCGCGGCACCCACACTGCCCCAGAGGCACCCCTCGGATTAATTCTGAGGCCTCTTTTGGCTACTGAACTTTTTTTATTATTTTTTTTTTTATTCTTTTGGCACGGCTTATCGAAAGGTTCATTCAGAACCCACATTTCTTAGCTGCTCTGTTTATGTTAAACTTATTACAGACTCAGTTAGCCTTTCGGAGGGAGCTGCTGTGTATTCAGTTAAGGAAAAATGCCCTTCCTGGCAGCTAAAAGCAGAAATACAGAAAATAATGGGATTCATACCGAGCAACTTCTCTGCCTGCTAGAAATCTTGTGCAGTCGCATGTTGCTCAGTAATCCCACTAATGACCTCGTGTGTGCTTCTTGTCTCCTCTGCAGGCTGCTGAAGAGCACAAGATCCAAGCAGGTAAGCCTTGTTACCTGTTCTGCTGTAACTTCCAAGGAAGGGGGGGAAAAATAAACGTGGTGAGCCTATTTATTTTTTGGGGAGGAGGAATCTTTATGCTGGCAAGTGTTACCCTATGTCCTGCTACTGGCCAGCAGCACTGGTAGCTTCGGCACAGCGATGTGGCGTGACTTGACTTTGCTTGCAATTTTTGAAAACAAAAGCAATAGTAATTGAGAACTGCGCAGTGCTTAAAGCACCCCAGGGGAAAATGTGGCAAGGCAGTTCTGGGTCCCAAGCTTTCTTTTGCATCGGGGAGGACATGCCTGCTCCGTTTGGCCAGGGCAAGCCACTGTCATCAGAACGCTTCTGCGTAGCAAGCGTTCAACCTTTTCTCATAGCTGGAGCGAGTCTGAGACTGCGGCCCTGTGCACTGCCTGCCCACCTGCCTCAAGAGACTGTGGGCTGAGGCTTTGCAAACGGCCTGAATGCCTAAGAGGATGCAGGAGTGCGGAGTTGGTGCCCGTCATGGTCCTGAAATGAGAGCTCCGAGTCAGTGCCCGCGGGGCGCGTCTTCTTCCGTGTTAAATGTCTTTAACCATTYCCTAAAGACAGGAAGCCTCGTGTAATGGGGAACATGTGCATGCAAACTGAGCTCCATAGATCTGCGTTCTGAAATACCAGGCAGTTTAGGGCTCCRTGGCGTGCAAGAGGATCCCAAAGGATGCGCAAGCGGGAGTCACATCCCCCGGGCTCTCTCCAAGAGCGTTAGCGTGGCCGTCAGCCTGCCCTTACCTGTTTCTTAGTTCTGCCCCTTCTGAAATAAGCGCTTCAGCAGTTTKGCCAAGCTGCTCAGACTTGGAACTTGTGCCTGCGGGAAGCCTCAGTGGCGAAAAAGGATCCGAGGCAATTGTATTTCCAGTTGCCACCAGACCTCCAGTCTTGAGCTTTTGATTCAGGCTTTCATTTGAGGTTTTCTTGAGAAAAGAATCTCAAGTATTTTTCTAAATTTTGGAAGTCTCATCATCTCTGTTTCAGTTCTGGCACTGCGTACTTAAGCACTCAGGTTGATGTTTCTCTGTGATAGATGAGCAATAGGTCTAGAGAAAGCTTAGATACGTTCAAGCTGGAAAAACAGCTTTGCTTTTTCCAGCAGCCTGCTGTTGTGCTCCTGTATTTTATTTCTGGTTGCTTCCATGAGATATAGATTGCATTTGTATTTTAGTAACTGTAAGCTAAACAGGAATGTGTCTCATACATTATACCGTACATGAGACAAAATGCCTTCAGATGGAAGATGTAGCTCCTTTCCTGGAGCTTCTTTTTTAGGTTGACCAAGGCTCAGTTGTCCATGAGCAACTCTGTCTTTGAGGGATCGATACGGTGCTTTCGTGAGGGGGRATCTGCATCTTCCAAAACCAACCAACCGAAAAAGCACCTTACAGCCATTGGGATTTTTTTCCATGCACTGTGGTTTTGAAACTGGTAGTATTTAACATAATGTTTTGTCCTGTAGATKGTGATTTAAAGGTATGGTGTACTTGGTCTAGAGCTTTAATGACTGCAGTAAAACTTTGCAGTAGGATTGCCTCCAAATGGGCTGGCCTACTTTAAAGTCCCTATTAAGTGTCAGTTTGCATTGATCTTGTATATTTTGATTTGGCCCAGGGCTAGCTGCTGTCAGCAGCTGATCTTTTTTTGTGGCCTGAATAGTTGCTTAGGATAAATAAAAGTATATAGATTTTTTTTTAAATATCAATATGGAATGTATTGTATAGCAGGGGAGTAGCCCAAGCTTCATGACCTACATTACTGTCCAATCTATTGCAAATGCCTGGAAACTGTGGAGAGGAACCGTTTCCGTGGTGCTGGCGCCCGCGTGAGCCTGGAGGAGCCGGCGCTCAGGGTGCTGCTGCATCCACGCTGCCCTCCCGTGCCGTGGCACCCAGCACTGCTCACCGGTGCCACCATCGCCCCTCACCAGGGGCAGACACTCCGCTAAGGAACTCGGCTACCCACTGCCAGCAGCTGKGGGCAAAGTTAATCTAGCCAAGGCTGGGAACTTGGCATAATCCTTACATCATGCACTGACCTTGCCAGTTCTTCCAGCTGGACTCTGCACATTCAGGTGCATCCTCCAAGAGACACGAGCGAGCCCTGGAAGCTGACAGAAGCTCTCGGGTCGTCTCACCCATGCCAGTGTGGGACAACTGGGGACACGACTTGYAGCTCACCCTAGGGGCTTGGTGGGGATGTTACCTGCGGTTCCCACCGCATGTCCTAGTCACCCAGCATCAGAACTGCCCGTGAGCTTCACCCGCCGCAGGTTTGKCCCCCCCACCGAATGCTGCCCGCCCCGCTGCGCAGCGGTGTCACCAGCGTAGGGAACAGGGCAGGAGGGCAGCGCGGGCGAAGCCGTCACCTCGCTGTAAAACATGCAGGACTAGACTGAGCTGGTAAAACTGGACTATTTTTCTGTGTGGTCACTCTCCCTTTTGAACTGTTTTCTAGCAGTCTGAAGAGGCAGGTGGTCACTGCATGAGACGGTTTAATCTGCATCTTGTTGTCATGAAACGGATTTTTTTTTTTTGTGGGCAAATTATGCCACCAGCACTTTCAGTTCCAGGATGTGATGTCATTGGTCACTGTGATGGCCGAAGGAGTTGATGAGACCAAAAAGTTAATTTGGTTGTGAAAGTTGGTCCCGTGTCTGTAATGCAGAAGGCTGGAAAAAGGAAGGTCCCATTAACAAAATATATTTACATGCTATGTTAGCAAAGAAAAGGTGAGAAAAGTCAACACTAACTACTATTTAAAGACCTCTTTAAAAGTGGATGAAAAGAAGCATCTTCAAACTCGCGTAAGTAACTTGAACAAAGGAATAATTTGTCTGAGTTCRAAGTTGCTGCTTTTCACTGATTTTGATTTTGTGCTTGAAATCCACTGTCTTAGCTGGACAGCTATGAGTCTGGATGGTAGCTATGCGCACCCA